GCAAGTGGCCCATTTCCCGCTAGATAACTCGACATTCGTCACACAACAATCAGCACGCCTTAGCGAATTATCGACCATAGCTTCGTAGCTCACCCACTACTGAATCTCCGAGCTACCTGGCTTTTGTCACATCTTGTGTGAAGCTCCACGTTGCCGATTCGAGTCCTTGGTCGCCATCCATTTATCTCAGCGTGAAACCGCGCTTGAAGGTCTACGGGAGGTCGCGATTTTGTGCTTTCTGCCCAACCGCTTGATGATCGTCATATTACGTTGCATAAACAAAAGGCACGGAAAAAATGAGGTGGGTCAGATGCAGTGGTATTTCATATAGCCATGACCTTGGCTTTCATACTGAATATTCAGTGGTTTATCAAAGAAGATAATTAGTAGATTTGCTCTTCGCAAATCCACCCTCGCCATCCCCTTTTGAAAAGCGAGAAACGAGCAAAGCAACGCATAGCTACCAGAGCAAAGAATGATGGTCTATAGTTTCACTAGAGACGATGACCGATTATGACCCCTGAAACAGCCGGGTAATGAAGTGTTGGTGACCGATCAGAGGTTAACAGAATTTTTTATTATCAATTCTGGTAGGCTCCTGTTATTCCTATTTAAGCTTAATAACTGTCGTAAGACACCGAATGATACATTAGAGCTATGGCTGAAAAATATTGGAACACGTCTAGAGAAAGAGTAACTTTCTGCCAGAGAGATTTTTTTATAAAGATCTGGGCCACTGATAGTTTATCGTTCAGCTTATCACTTCAGGTGAATATTCCAAGTTTAAATTAATACAGTCGCTGCTGTACTTAAGTTGTTGGCCGGACATTTCAGCCGAACGAGTCCGTCAATTTTAAAGTACGAATTTAGGAACAAAAATAAATTAAACATGCCTGTTCGACCTGTTCAAACTTCAACATTCATGGTCTTCGTAAAAGTACACAAGTTGGGGCGATGCGGACAACTTATCTGAAATGGCGCTTTAACCATTCATCGAATTTGTTTAACTATAAGCTGGTAGTATTTATCGTAGAAGAACACAGACAGTACGCAGGACCACTGAACTGACGTAGAGCAGGACTAAAAAGAAGAGTGTCCACAGGTTTGAAGGAAAGTATCCTAATATTATCAATGTACAGTGAATGACCTCAGTTATGAACGCAACTTGTTGACTCTGAACATACGATTGACGTTGAAGCTATGCATTGTACAACCAAATAAGAAACGCGATGCATGAACGTTTTGAAGCCGTACATACATTCACTGAAATAAAATGCTTACGCAAGAATTGACCTACACTTTATCTTTCAATCTCTTTACGATGCTACTCTTGTTAACCATTGCCATCAAAGCCCAACTCTGCTTAACCACCAGGGTAGCCAAGATTTATGCTGTAATTATGTATCTGTAACAGCCAAAAGGTCTTTCGAAGGCGGCTTACCAATAAATATCGTTTCCTAAAAATGATCACTACTACTGACCACTGATCAGTTGAAAGCAGCATTTCTTCTAAAGGAAACAGGAAACTACACGACATAAAGGTCATTGAGCTGTAGAAGGCCTTTAAAAAAGAAATAAAAGCAATCCTGGCCGATGACATGCAGATGGAGATAAACATTGCTCCATAAGCTACATAATTAAGGTGCTACAAATGGCAATCAGTCATGTAAGTGTAATAGAGATCGATATTTCACATCAATTGTTACAAACTTACCTTTGCCTTCCTTTCAGAAATAAGTCAAAACAACCTTTTCAAAATCTTTTGAAGGAAATAAAAATTATTTTTTGTATTTTATACTATTCTTTCTTTAGAACTACCTCTAAACATCTTAATTACAATGACTTTAGAAAGCTACACTTGAAATGTTGGTGTCATAAATGTTAATTCGTCGAAGTTTCATCGTTTAGAATGAATGACCGTTAAAACATTCAGATTTAGTCATGGCAAAAAGAACAGCCAAAGAATACCAAAGGGAGGTAGATATAATCGCAAGCCTCAGCGTGACTGCCACAGTAAATATATTCAAATGACAACTGGCATGTCATATTTAAAAAAATACATAAGCGGCGTTGAATCATTACTGTAGAAAGACTCATCAGGCAAGAAGCGACCGGGAATAAGGCTGAGTGGCGCACTGTTACATTAAATCGCGAAGTATATCGGTTTCGTGTGGATGCCAAACGCCGAAGACAAATTTCAGTGCTCAAGACTTCTTCAAGATGCCTTCATCTGAGAGTGAATTGATAGCTTTCTGACGATGATGATACAGGCAATTTGATGGAATGCATATTTGTCTTGGTGTGCTTAGCTGCTGGTCATCTGGCGCGATTCGTCGCTGAATGCCGGTCGGTTCCAGATGAACCAGGTGTGCTTGGTTTTCAAGAAAGTCTAGTGTGATTTTTTTGTCCTCGACACCGTTCGGACCAATTTTGCCGTTTTGTTCCCTTTCCATTGGAGAAAAGACACGATGATCCTAACCCCCTGCGATGTCAAGTTCACGTGGTAATGCATTCAGGTTTTTATACTGGTCTGACCTTGTCGGCTTCGGCTACCGTGTAACGATTTTAATTGGTGGGGAGACAAGAATCGTCGCCGCCCTTAATTGCTGATGCCGTCCATGCTTGAGGCGGTCTATGATTAATAATTCGTTTTTTCTCTCATAAGACTGGCGAAATTTCACTCGTCTGACATATGCCCCGCGGGTAAACCGTACAGACGTCATAGATTGTCGATTTGCAGCCGACCATTCATTACCATGACGGCTGCGTGTCTGGTGAAAGCAAGCGCCACACTCTGAAGAGGCGATTTTACGCGAAAGCTGCAGCAATCAGAACTTCAGAAGAAACAACGCAGTTTTTGCAACTTCCGGGCAGACATCAGCCGTTTGCACAAAACTGACGTTTTGTCGCACAGGTCCTCATCATCATCACGAATAGTAAAAAAATATTAAACACAGCGGTGCATCTGATGGAAAGTGTTCGACCCCTTTATTCATAGATGAGAGATAA